AAAGTACTTGCCAAGTTTCTCTGGAGCATTTGCTGCCGAAAGTCTTCTGATTACATAAAAAGACCAAAGAAGACAGCAAGCTCCTAGACAGTGTATCTGGGTCACAATGTCCAAGCTTGAGTGAGAGATTCAGATAGCAGTGGAGAAATCTCAAATTGATGAATGTGTGGGACACCTCCTAAGTCTCCTCTTGAGCCAAAACCCAGAGAAGAGTTTGACAGCAACAGAGCAGATGCAGGCACCAACTTCATCACTAGAAAAACACTCTCACCTCTATGAGCTTCCAATCCATGCATCTACAGGAAGCAAGGCCAGCCGTTTAGAACTCCCTAGAAGGATGGTGTGTAAGGGACTGAGCTGGTGGCCGGCACTTGACTTTAACTGGCATTGGCCTAGTTTTCTCTATGCATTGGATACAGGTTATTTGGTAAATTCCATGCATACAGATTAAAACATAGAGCTAATCACTCGTTACTGACCAGCAATCGCCCCAGGAAACTAAGTCAAGCCCTGGACATTGACAACTCTGGGCAGAAACCAGACCATGAACTGAGAAATCAAAGCTGACGTTGGAATTTCTGAGCTGCTTCCCAGCTTATACTGCAGAGAGGAGTCATACAGGATCTCCTTCTATGGCTGAAATAATTTTTAAGAGATTGGTGGGTTGGACAGCTACCCACTATAGCAGCTAAATGTACCTTTGGTCCACAAACAGCAACATGTATCAAGATAGAAATAAACAAGGTTTTAGGAAGAAAATAACATTTTAAATCCTTAATTTTCCTGACATATTCTGATAAGAGCTACAGCAACATTAAAAAGGGAATGTTTATTATGTAATAAGTTCATAAGAAAATCTTCACTATGCTACTAGAAAGTGGAAAAAGAAAAATCATTAATCTTACAACACAACAGCACACTGGGGTATTCACATGCAGGAGCAGCACAGTGGGGATGGCACACTCACTCGGGGATGGCACACTCACCCGGGGATGGCACACTCACCCGGGGATGGTACACTCACCCGGGGATGGCACACTCACCCGGGGATGGCACACTCGGGGATGGTACACTCAGGGATGGCACACTCGGGGATGGTACACTCAGGGATGGCACACTCACTCGGGGATGGCACACTCACCCGGGGATGGCACACTCACTCGGGGATGGCACACTCACCCGGGGATGGCACACTCACCCGGGGATGGCACACTCACCCGGGGATGGCACACTCACCCGGGGATGGTACACTCACTCGGGGATGGTACACTCGGGGATGGTACACTCAGGGATGGCACACTCGGGCATGGCACACTCACCCGGGGATGGCACACTCGGGGATGGTACACTCAGGGATGGCACACTCAGGGATGGCACACTCACTCAAGGATGGCACACTCACCCGGGGATGGTACACTCACTCGGGGTTGGCACACTCACCTGGGGATGGCACACTCGGGGATGGTACACTCACCTGGGGATGGCACACTCACCCGGGGATGGCACACTCACCCGGGGATGGTACACTCGGGGATGGTACACTCGGGGATGGCACACTCACCCGGGGATGGCACACTCACTCGGGGATGGCACACTCACCCGGGGATGGCACACTCACTCGGGGATGGCACACTCACTCAGGGATGGTACACTCACCCGGGGATGGTACACTCACTCGGGGATGGCACACTCGGGGATGGTACACTCACTCGGGGATGGCACACTCACCCGGGGATGGCACACTCACTCGGGGATGGCACACTCGGGGATGGTACACTCGGGGATGGTACACTCAGGGATGGCACACTCACTCGGGGATGGCACACTCACTCGGGGATGGTACACTCGGGGATGGTACACTCGGGGATGGTACACTCAGGGATGGCACACTCACTCGGGGATGGCACACTCACTCGGGGATGGCACACTCGGGGATGGTACACTCGGGGATGGTACACTCAGGGATGGCACACTCGGGGATGGTACACTCAGGGATGGCACACTCACTTGGGGATGGCACACTCACTCAGGGATGGCACACTCAGAGATGGCACACTCACTCAGGGATGGCACACTCACTCAGGGATGGTACACTCGGGGATGGTACACTCGGGGATGGTACACTCAGGGATGGTACACTCGGGGATGGCACACTCACCCGGGGATGGCACACTCACTCGGGGATGGCACACTCACCCGGGGATGGCACACTCACGCGGGGATGGCACACTCACTCGGGGATGGCACACTCAGAGATGGCACACTCACTCAGGGATGGCACACTCACTCAGGGATGGTACACTCGGGGATGGTACACTCGGGGATGGCACACTCGGGGATGGTACACTCGGGGATGGTACACTCGGGGATGGCACACTCGGGGAAGGCACACTCACCCGGGGATGGAACACCCGGGGATGGTACACTCGGGGATGGCACACTCACTCAGGGATGGTACACTCAGGGATGGCACACTCGGGGATGGTACACTCAGGGACGGCACACTCGGGGATGGTACACTCGGGGATGGTACACTCAGGGATGGTACACTCGGGGATGGTACACTCAGGGATGGCACACTCGGGGATGGTACACTCGGGGACAGCACACACTGAGGGCAACACACTGTTGCTAGTACACTCTCGGCGGTACACTGGGGGCAGCACACTCAGGCATCCCACACCATGACCCCCCCCACACACACACACCCTGGACATAGCACACCTACTTAGACGCAGCACACTTAGGCATCTGCCCAGATCTCCTTGGGCCCATCATGTGAGCAGGCTGTTTTTAAGAGTTGAGTCAGAAGCTGCAGGTTTGCACCTCGGTCCCCCTTGGATCAATTCCTGAGCCACCAAGGCACCAAGGTGAAGGGTGACATGGACAGACTTTAGATCCTTTTCCATGGCATAGCATACACACACTGTACTGGGGGAAGGGTCTGTACTCAGGAAAGCTGTCTTTCAAAAAAAAAAAAAAGTAGGTGCTTCTCTTGACCAGATTAGAGCCTGATACCGTGGTCAAGGGAAGATGTAGGAGGAACACTCCACACCCCAAAACCCAGGATGCAGCGAAGCCAGGACACTTGATGAGATGCATGGGGTTCAGCTCCCCTCATCAGAGAGGTCTACCCAAGATCCCTCTGACCTGTGTTGTGGATGTTTGTCCTCTGAGCATGGGTCTGTTCGTAAGCAGATGGTACAAGCACACAAGTGAAGGAAGGCAGACATGAAGGGAGTCCCACAGGCCAACGTCCTCAGAAAAGACCTCCACAAAAGCCACCTGCAAAGGGCTGACCCTGTCTGGAATCAGTGAAACTTCTCCTGCTAGCCCATGCCATTAGCATTTGGGGAAAAACTAAAAAGTGAATATCAAACAATTTTAATGTTCATTTAACTGGTGTTATTTACTCTTTAAAAACAGTCTAGGATCTAGGCAGTGAGGAGAAGCAGGGTGGTGGCTGAGAGGCAGATATGAACAAGGAGCTCTAACTCCCAGATCCCTTTCCTGCGACCTGAGAAAGGCAGAGCAGTTGGGATACGGCAGGCTGCCCACCATTATTCTGTGCTGACACCACCCACCCCTTGCCTGGGATTTGGGCCGTAGTTGTTTGAAACAGGCATTCACGTCCTTTTTGTTTTTCAAAGAGGTCAAAGATTGGAGGCCTAAGATGAAGAGGCCAGAAACTCGATGTGGCTTCTTAGAAAATAGCCCTCCTACCAGGAGAAATACTTCTGTCAAAAGAAGTCAAAGCCAACCAGATGTCACCGGCTTTTTTTTTTCATATGTCCCCTCAACAGCTGGCAAGACTATCAGTTTAAATTATTCGGTACGAGCATACACTTTCTATTTGTCCCCAGATAAAGGGATTTAGGCATTGTTTGTCAGTTAGGGGTGGAGAAAGCTCTGGAATGGACTTTTCTAGACAGTCAGCACATGATTGGTTCTCCGTTGCCTGCACCATCTCCAGCTGTGGCTGCAGCTCCTGTAATTTAAGGACAATTCCCTGGACTGAGCAGACTCGGCAGCCCGCGCCACCTGTCCACACAGCTGCATCTACTGGTGGACACCAAGCTACTGCATGTCAAGAGTTTCCCATGGTTCTTGCAGTGCCTGTCCCACTTGGCATCTGATCTAGAATGTTCTTTCGCCTCCAATCATGCAGGCTTGTGTGATTTCCTGGAGGGCTTGGTTGGTTCCAGTTTCAGGCAGCACCTGTTTATCTCAGGAATATTGCTACACTTCATTCACCTCAACAGAGAGGTCTCAGAAGTCGCCCACTGAGGAAAAGCCTAGGACAGAGGAGCTTTGGATTCCCTGGTTGATGATGGTGATGATGCATCTGGAGAAGGTACGATGGGGCCACTTACTCCTCGCTGTGTGACTCTCACTGAAAGGAGGGGGTTTGCTGTAGTTATGGGTAGAGGTGAGATCAGATTGGATTAGACCGGATCCTACATACAGACTGAGGTATTAAGGGCAGAAGAAAGACAGAGATGGGATACATCTACACACCGGAGGAAACCAAAGACTTTAGCATCTGTAGAGGCTCAGGGAAGCCAGAAATGATTCTCAAGGGAAGCCCACCCTGCCTTCCAGATCTTAGACATCCGTTCTTTTGCACTGTGAAAGAGTGGATTGTGACCCTTGTCTACTCAATGTGCAGTATTAGTTATAGAGATTGTAGGGAAAACCAAAGAGAGATAGAAAGTACTAACATGGAGAACTCAGGGTAAGGAGAATATTAAGGCCCCCAAAGAGTTTGACTTCTCCTTGATGGAGGCCAACCTGCTATGAAATAGGACCCCTAGAATAATTGAGACCAATTTTATGAGATCAGTGCCCCAAGACATGTCCTCAGCACCACAGGCAGGAAGTCTTACCCCAAAGGAGCTTCCAGAGACCTGGAATCTTAGTCACTGCTCCATTGCTGTGAAGAGACACCATGACCAAGGTAACTCTTACGAAAGAAAACATTTAATTCGGGGTTTGCTTACAGTTTCAGAGGTTTAGTCCTTTGTCATCACGGTGGGGATCATAGAGCCATGCTGGCAGATATTAGAGCAGCAGCTGACAGCTACATCCTAATCTGTAGGCAGAAAGAGAGATTGGGCTTGGCATGGGCTTTTGAAACCTCAAACTTACCCCCAGTGACACACTTCCCCCAACAAGGCCTCACCTACTAATCCTTTTAATCATTTCAAATAGTACCACTCCCTAAACGTTCAAATATATGAGCCTTTGAGGGACGTTCTTATTCCAACCACCTGGGCCCTAAGAAGTTAACTCTGGCACTAAGAAGTTAACCAGGCTCAGTAGGGTTCTTGAGTGCAAAATCCTTTGTCAGTTCTGAAAATATCTGTGGAACTATTTATTCCCAAGGCCCTGTGTTAACTCCCTCCCAGGAGCTGAACAAGAAGCACCTGTTGCTAAGGAGCCAGCGTGAGGTCGTTTCCTCACAGTTCTCCAGCCTTTTGCTGCCATCGCAAATGAAGACATCTGTGCCATCAAAACAGAGAAACAGTGTCACTGAATAAAAACCAAGAGTAGAAATTGTCGATTTGCCTGGGGAGCCTAAGCGCTGTAAGGCCAGGGAACCGAGTCCCAGCTTGCAGGCACGGGGCCCCATTTTATCTCCCATGTACAGTAGACACATTGCACATCTGTGCTGTGGGCCATAAATGTCGTGCCATGAGCAAGCACAGGCCCAGTGCCAGGTAACTCAATAAATATTTGTGGAGTGAGTGAGCAAAGGCAATTACAGCCTGGGATAGTCCGTGTGTCCTGGCTTGCTCGCAGGACAACCAACGGTGCGAGAAACGCCATGGAATGGCAGTACAGAAGGTGTCTGCCAGAGATCAGACCAGCTCTAGCTGCATCCTACCTCTCCCCTCTCCTTGTGCCCTTGAGACATTTGTACAATTTGCATCCTCTCTATCGTGGCCTAGGCTTACAATGGAGCCAACAGTTCATTTCAGAAAGATACCAGGAATATCAAGTGCTGTCTCAAAGCAACTGCAAGGGGTTAGTGACTGAGGTTTTTGCTCTGACCTGGGGCTTCCCGGTGCCCTACCTCCTGACTCAGCTCAGGAATACCAAAGCTGCTGCAGTAGGAAGAGACAGGAAATAGCCTTGAACATTCCAGAACAAAGCAGTTCTGAAAGCCCTTGGTTTCCCCACACAAAATATGTTTGAAAGAAGAGCTGCTAACCGTCAGCAGCTGCTCCTGGCACCTGTTATTTGGTCCCATTGTTGAAGTCCTAATGGCATTTTGGAAAGAACTGTGCATTTTTTTTCCTGCAGAAGTACCCTGGGATCTGGACACTCAGTGACTGCATCTAACTGGTGATCAAGAAACAGGAGCTGAGCGGTGGGGCCACAGCAGAACCAGACCCTGCTGACATGGACCCCAACTTGTTTCCTTGTTTCCTCCCTCCGTTTCTGTGCCCACTCTACGAGGGTGCAAGTGTTTAGAGAAGGGACAGGTTGATCTCTACTGTCATGAGGGTCTGGAGTAACAGAAACCTACAAGGTATAAGAAATAAAATTTCAATATCTTAGCAGGCTGCACAAGATGCTGAGCACAGAACCTGGCCTGGAAACTTCCATCTGCCCACCTATAATCCCTCCCAAGGAGTTGCCCAGTGTGTTAGCTTCCTGGCTTCTGTAACAGCATGTCACAGCCATGACTTCAGTAACATGTTATCACTAGAGTCCGAAGGTCAGGAGTTGAACTGGGGACTTATTGGACTAAAGTCCCGGGGTTCTGAGGGATCTTTCCTCTTGAAGACTTCAGAGGGCATCTCTTTCTGCTCCTAGGAGTCAACCCAGTGGCTCATGGCTTCTCTGCAACTTCCGAACCCTTGCCCTCATCCTGCGGCCACTCTGAGTCACTGGTCCTGTGGTTACCTCCTTCTCCGACTATAACCTGTATGCCTGCCTTTTCTCTTAGGGACCCTCATGACTATATCAGGGCTCCAGCATTTTAGGAAAATCCCTGATGGGATCGCATCTGCAAGGTGAGAGAAATGGCCCAGCGGTTAAGAGCACTCATTGCTCTTGAGAGCACCCTAGTTCAGTTTCCAGCAGCCACATGGTAGGTCACAATCATCCACAGCATCAGCTAAGGGGATCTGATGCCCTCTTCTGACTTCTGAGGGTGGCAGGCACAGCATGCACATGCTGAACTTACATACAGGCATGTGAAACACTCAGACAGAGAAATATTTTTAAAAAGTTACATCTGCGGGGCTGGAGAGATGGCTCAGTGGTTAAGAGCATTGCCTGCTCTTCCAAAGGTCCTGAGTTCAAGTCCCAGCAACCACATGGTGGCTCACAACCATCTGTAAAGAGGTCTGGTGCCCTCTTCCGGCACCAGAATATTGTATATAATAAATAAATAAATAAATAAATATTTAAAAAAAAAAGTTACATCTGCGACAAGCCACTACCATATGAGGTTCCAGGATTAGGACAATGGCATCTTAGGGGACGATTGTTCTGTCTACAGTATTGGTCCCCAAAAGTGCTTACTTGTTGTATTAGGAGCAGCGGGGCTGCATCCCTAGCACCCTGGCCGCCTGGCTAGCTTATGCCCTGAAATAGCAACACACAAATTGTATTCTTTTAAACACTGCTTGGCCCATTATATCTAGCCTCTTCTCAGCTAACTCTTGCACCTGGACTAGCCCATTTCCAGTCATGTGTGTAGCACCCCAAGGTGCGCTTACCAGGAAGATTCTAGCCTACATCCATCCTGGGTTGGAGCTGAATCGTGTCTGCCCGGGAGAGGGGAGCATGGCGTCTCTCTGAGGCGTCTGCCCCCGAGAGGAGAGCTGTCGAGTCTGAGCTCACTTCATGTGTGTAGCACCCCAAGATGATTGGAAATGGGCTAGTCCAGGTGAGAGAGTTAGCCGAGAAAAGGCTAGATAGAAATGGGCCAAGCAGTGTTTAAATGAATGCAGTTTGTGTGTTGTTATTTCAGGGCATAAGCTAGCCAGGCGGCCGGGGTGCTGGGGACACAGTCCCGCTGTTCCTAATACAACACTTACTGACCAGTTCTTGCCCTCCCATGACACAGACCTCTCCACCCAATCTTTAACTTGGCTTTCAATCTTTGTGGTTTGTTGGTTTGTTTGAGACAGGGTTCCTCTGTTTGGCCATGACTGGCCTCAAACTCATAGAGATCTTCCTATCTCTGCCTCTCAAGTGCTGGGATTAAAGGCATGAGCCTCCACACCCATTCTTAGGTTGTAATTCTTTAGAACTCTGTAGGATGGGTATTAGCTGGGGATGGGGAAGGAAGTTCCTTTTATCTTTTCCTTCCTCCAGTAATCTACTCAGCAAATATTAATGAGTAGCCATCACACAAGACACTATTCTGGAGACATAAAAAGATGTTAGAAATCAGAGCCATTCCAAATCACATTCGGGGCAGATAGCATTGAATATAGAATGTAGCCACAAAGAATAGAACCCTATCAACAAAGCCTGACATTTCTGCTGTAGACATAAAAACACAAACCCAAGGAGTCACCACAGAAGGACTAGTTTCTTGCTTGGTAGGTCCTGTCTTCTAGAATTAGGATAACACAGACCATGTTAACCTGGATGACCTCAAGAGCTAATTCAGGATTTTTACTTCCTTAGTGGGCCAGAGGAACAAAGTATAAATGTACAAAGATGCTAGATCTGCTTCCTACAAATGTCAACATTGAGATTTCCTAAGTGGCGGTGGGGGGGGGGGGGAGCTGGTTGGCACTGTACAAAGAGGAGACAGCTTCAGAACCCAAAGGACTCACCACAAGTAAGAACTGTCTACCTCACTAAGGGCTCCAACTGTCTGAGCAGTGCGGCTTGTGGGTTGCCTCGTTATGTGGCCTGCCGTGACCTTGATCTGCGGATATATAAGACGTAAAAGGGCAGCAGGCAGGTACCATGGCTTGGGTATGGTTTGAATATTCACAAGGCCCACTGTGAGGGGTAAGACAATAGTCACTGCATCTGATTATGGTGGTCTGGTAGAGCGGATGGGGGGTGGCCGGATGAATGAGACCCTAAGGGTAGATAGAGCCCTGTGATTGGATCCTTTGGGATTTGCAAGGAGAGACTACAGACACCTACCTGAACAATCCCATTCTTCTGCACCTCAGAATCCATCAGCTGGAGGCTCAGGCTCCTTACCACAGCTTGGGCGTGGCAGGCTGTGCTAGAGGCCCATCATCTAGCGAGACTGATTTCACTTTGGTGATCACAAGGCTGATTTCTCTAATGCCACCCAGAAGGATATAATGTGAGATCCTGGAGGTGCATCCCATCATCTACTGCCAGTGATGGCCAGCTGTACCGTCGACTGTTTTTATTCAGATAGTTGTCTACAGTGTGATGTCGGAAGGTGATTTGTAATTAAAAACTTGTTGGACACGTGTGATCCAGTCATTTGAACAATGATACTGATTTCAGTTTTTTCAAGTTGAGTGGACAGTTGACTAAACTCTCTCTAGTTTTGCATGAGAATAAGTGTTAAGGTGTGTTTAATGACTGGGAGTGGTCAGGTTCTGGCTCAGGCTCTGGATATACCCTGGGAGGCCGCAGTCTTGATAGCAGATCCAGGTAGATAGTGGCACAGAGGTACGGAGACACATTGAGGTCTTGTGTTTCCCCTTTCTCACACTTACAAGTCTTCAGACCCCAAGACATGTCCTTCAGCCCCTAGCTGCCCAATCCCCCTACCCTGTCTGGCAAATGGTAGTTGGGGAGAGAGATAGTGGCTGCCCTTCTCCTTCCTGAAGCCATTGGAAGAGCCATTTCTTGTTGTTCTAGCCATGTCCTCCAAATTTCCTAGAAGAGCTGGCTTGTGAGCAAATGCTCAAAACCTTCAACAAGGGAGCAGTAACCTCAGAGAAGTAGATTGGTCCATTAGGTGAGAAGACAGCAGATTCAAGGGTTCAAGAAGTGGAGTGGGAAGCTAATCAAAGCTATTAACTCATCTTTGGGAGCCTCCACAAGACAGCATTGTTAGGCAGACTGGGCAGAGAAGCCAGATCCTAGCTTCTCACGTGAGCGGGAATGAGGTTAGGGTTCTAGC